ACTTGAAGACCTTCGTCACACAGCTGGCTGATGCTAATGAGATTTGATTTGAGTCCTTCTACATAGTAGACGTTTCTAAGTCTTGGTAGATCAGCTCTCTCCATATGCCCAACTCCACGGATTCTACCTTCTCCACCATCACCAAATATTACCCTACCTTCCTTGATCGGTTCCATGATTGTTAAGAAGTTTTCATTTCTTGTCATGTGCCTTGAGCAACCACTATCAAAGTACCACGGTATCTCAATAACAGTGTGTTCTTCTGTGGAGGTGAATGCTACCTTGGCGAGACTTGGAGCAGAAACACTGTCTTCTTCACAATACTCTTCAATTACCACCATATTACACACAATTTCTTTTCCTGGTCTCTGTTGAAAGACTTCTGTCTTAATCACCTTTGAAGGGGTTGGTGTTCTGTTTTTGAAGTTGGGGTACAGATCGGTTTTGGCAATCCAGACATGTCCAATCTAGCTTGGTTCAATGTAACATTTGTGGAGTGACCATGCTCGCTGATATTGAGCTTTTCGAAAGTAGCGGTATGCAACTCTGTGTCCTTGTTTGCCACAAAAGTGACATCCATTGCGCCTGTGTGGTAGCTGTTTTTTCACGGATTTCTCAGCTGTCTTCTGGGGTGCGGCTTCTTTCTCTAACTCAGTTTTCCTGATGCTCCACTTCTAACGAACCTTACGTCTGTTACATCTTTGCTGCTTGAACCTCGATATCCTTGATAACCTAATCCCAGAGCAAACTTTGGGTTTTGTGCGAGAGAGAGAACGTGATCCAAAGTATCTGATCCATTGTTGAGCATCCTCATCTTCTTGTAGTTGTCGTTCAAATCCCATTGTAATAAGCGGCTCTTCTCAAGTTCCTCATTCAGCAGTCCCATAGCTTGATCATACTTGGTCTCCAAATTCTTCAAGGAGTAAGCCTGATCTGTGACAGTTCTTTCAAGGAGCTGTATATCAGGGCTCTTCTCAGCTTGCAAGACACCTGCTGCAATCTTTCCTCCAGTAGTTGGTGTGTCCAGTTCAAGTATGTTGACTTGTTCCTTAAGCATCGCTTTGTCTTTGATCAGCTGCAGGTTTTAAAGACTCAACTCTGTAAACTTGTCAAAGAGGATCTTGAACTCTGACTTCAGATCCAAGTCTTTCCTGTCGTCATCATTGTCTGAATCTGAATCTGAACTTGAAAGAATATCTTGAGTGTTATCTTGTTCCACACGAGCAACAAAGTTCAGCATTAGTTCTTCATCATCACTCTCACTTTCTGATTCGGTATCACTGAATGACAGAAGAGCTTTATCTTTCTTCAGGTTGTTGGGACACTCACTCCTTGTATGTCCGAAACATTTACACTCAATGCACTTAAGCTCTTTTCTTTTAGCTAGAGGACACTCGCTCCGAAAGTGACCTAATCCTTCACATTCATGACATTTCAGGTCTTTCTTGCGGTTTCCTCTACCAGTTTCACTTCTGTTCTGCTGTCCAGAGGGACGATCCCCTTCTCTACCTTGAAACCGGTTGCTATTGCGATAGTTCCCCTTCTCAACTCTTTTGATCATCTTGTTGAAATTCTTAGCCATTAAACTCATGTTCTCTTCAATGCGCTTGACTCTATCTTCTTCTTTGTTTTCTGCTGTGAAGGCAACTCCTTTCTGTCCCTTAGTTGTGTCTTCACTTCTTTCCAAATCATGTACTTTCAGAATTCCAGCCAACTGATCAAACTTCATCTCGTCAGTATTTACGGCAATCTTAAGAACCGCCTTGTAAGCTTCAAATCTAAGAGGGAGACATCTCAAGACTTTCTTCACAAGTTTCTTCTCATTATACTTCTTACCCAAGACAGACGCCTCATTTGCTATAGAGCTGATTTTAGAGATGAAACTTCCTACTGATTCATCATCCTCCATTCTCAGGTTCTCAAATCTTGAGGCGAGATGATCAATTCTGGTTCTTCTTACACTTGTGTTTCCCTCAAAGTGATTGATAAGCGTATCCTATGCCTCTTTAGCAGATTCACACCCTTGAATGATTTTAAACTGATCAAGGTCGACAGCCGAAAAGATTGTAGTCAGTGCTTTTGAGTTGAATTTAGATGCAGCTTTATCAGAGTCGGTCCATCTCTCCTTTGGCATAAGTGCTACAGACTTGTCTTCCATAACCATAGTCGGCGCAGTCCATCCTTGTTCAACAGCAGTCCAAGCATCCTCGTCAATAGCCCGTATGATGTGCCGCATCCTTGCCTTCCAATGTCCAAAGTTTCCTTCGTCAAGCATGATTGGTTTTTGCAAAGCCACCAGTTCTTTCATGGTCTCCATGATTGTTGCAGGATCTCAACCTGTAAGTAGACAACACGTCCACAGAGGTGACCCGCTCTGATACCAAATGAAATTTCGTATGGATACCACAAAAGAGCAACTAGAGCAAATCCAAGAAAACTAACTTGCTTTATTAAGAATCACTTAAACATTCTTACAAGATCTGTTTAATCCGGTTTACTCAACGTCACAACTTGACTTGAGACGGACCAATTCTTAATCTACCCAATGCACAGTGGTCGAGACAGACCTCACCACTTGCTCACTCAGAATCGCAGCTTTGAACACTTAAGCTAGATAACNGAGCAAATCCAAGAAAACTAACTTGCTTTATTAAGAATCACTTAAACATTCTTACAAGATCTGTTTAATCCGGTTTACTCAACGTCACAACTTGACTTGAGACGGACCAATTCTTAATCTACCCAATGCACAGTGGTCGAGACAGACCTCACCACTTGCTCACTCAGAATCGCAGCTTTGAACACTTAAGCTAGATAACAATGAATAATCCCCAAAGCCGTAACCTAGCTAATGAACTCTATCACCAATATATACTCACGTATCCTATTGTGATAAGCACAGATTCTCTCGATATCTTCTTGTTTGTTCCCTAACAAATATCCTAGAATCTTGGGTCATTATCTTCCGAACGGCTCCTTGTATTTCGCTCCTGGTGTGACACCCGCTCCACGTTGTGTGACACCTCAGCCTTTTTCGCTCAACTAAACTTGGGCTCACTTGTGTGTGACACACTCTCCTGTCCGTGTAACACTCCAAACATCATGCTCAGAAACCTGAGCTTACAAGATGAACAAAGAACGAGAGAGTGAACATGCAGAGCTCAACGATGAAGAGGAAAAAAGCTTGTTGGATTCAATCAACGTAACCCTCACAATTCTGTTCCAACGAAACTTCCTTCTATTTACAATAACCGAACCTAGTCTAAATACCAAAAGTAAACCAGATAACTGAACCATATATTATAATACATCCCCTCGAGTCTTTAGCTTCATATTGTTTGGTTGAAAATAAAGACTTGAAAGAGACATACATCGAATCATGAAAAAAATTGTTCGGGAATCGGGATGAAGAGCTTCCGTAAGAACACCATCAAGCTGATTAGCAGTTGAGACGTGCATTGTATGGAGACGACCAACCTTTAATGTTCTATACCATATTAAAACTCTAAGTTCATAGATGAACAAAGTACTAGAGAGATTTATAGCTCAACGATAACACGGTAAAGAAAAGTTTGTTAGATTCAAACAATGTAGAATTCGGTTACATCAGTTTATATGTAGGACCTTCTATTTAATATAACCGGAACAGATCTAAATACCAAAAGTAAACAGAATAACTGAACATCATATTTCTAGTGTCACTCACTCTATCTTTGACCACATATTGGACTTCCTTTGACACACCGCGAGTAGTTCCAAGACATCAACCCCATGGTCAGCCGTCACTGTTCCAGCAACAGTAACCCCACTTTGTGTCAGATCGCTTCCCATCATATATCGGTTAAGTTCAAACAGTTTAACTATTCCTTAACCAGGAAAAACTGCTTGTTTCTCCGAGCAAGAGTTTGGGACCGAATAGAGTCTATTCATCGCTCAAGTAAGCTATGGAGATTCTGAAAAGTAGTGTGAAGAAAACAAACACTTGCATGAGTGAGTAATGTACAACACTGAGCCACGTCCCTTTTCAAATTAATGTTTTCACATTACTAAAAATAGTCTAATGTACATATAATGGTAATCACATTTGTGTATAGAGTATTACACTTATTGATTTTAATTTATTAAGATTCACACACAGAAATGAAAGAAAGAAGTTTTAGTTTAGAGCATTCATCTCTTCTTTAAACTTAACCATAGCAGCTCTTGGCAGCGTAATCATGACTTGAACCCCTCCGACCATTGGAGGTTCTAACCTCGACGCTGGCATGAACATACTAACAATTTTAGCTATCTCTGGTGGGACCACCGGGACAATATTCACCGGCTCACCCCACCCGAAATCCATGGATCCAAAAATACCAATGTTCCTCCAATCCGTCAAACAAAATCTACCTTTGACCGTTAAATTCATACTGATGATACTTTCTGTGTTTGCAAGCTCTTCCTGGAGATAATCTTTATCTTGAGCTTTTTTCTTTGCTTGTTTTAAGAGCTTCACAATGTCGGAGATGGTAAATTTTTCTACTTCTGTAACGGTTAATGACACATATATATCTATGTATGCATTACCGTAATATCCGTCGGGCAAAGGAGGATTCACTACGTTTCGGATTCCTACAGCTAAACCCAAAGATGTGATTCCATCTCGATCCAAACTCAGAGCTTTAACTCTTGACTTCCACAAATAAGCTCCTATGACTTCGAAAGTAGTGATTGCCTCATTAGCAAAGTCGCACTCTTTTAATGCAGCTTCTTTCAGTCTTCTTATGCCCTCAGCTCTAATATTTATTTTCTCAGTTACCTGATTACATATATAAAAATTGGGTAAGTAAGATATTTTCCAACAATTCAATTCTCTTAGGTTTGTTTTGCAGATATTTTTTTTTCTTTCTTACATTTCTGATAACTTCTTAACACTAGACTAATCCCTAAGTTTTTAATAGATCTAGTATGATGTTTTGATTTGTAAAAAACTAAAAATGGTTAGAGCATTTCAGTTGAAAAAATCTCACTGAATATTTCCAATAATAGTAATATGGAGAAATGAAAAAAAGTTTCATTTAAAACTTAAGAAGTTGATATATCTATAAAATATTTGTCTTTTATGGATGGTCAACTTTGAAGAAAAATCCATTATTAAAATTTTAATAAAATACGGATATTTTACAATTATAGAGATTAATAATCACATGGATAATGCTCCTAGATAAATTCCACATGCAAGGAGAATCGATTCCCCGGATATACTTGTAGGATAATTCTATCAAGTGGGAACCACTAAACCACTCCTTAGCTAATTTAATATATTATAACTTAAAATACTACTACAATACTCCAAATATGTTACAACTAAGAAACCTCAGATAATATCAAATAATGTTTGTTCTCTTGTTTTTAACTTTTTATCATAAGGGTTCATAAACTCATATGAAAGGGTCCGAAATCATTTGCAAGAAAAATCCTTAGTCAAGCTTTATTAAACAATTCCGTTAAGAAAAGAGTATTTATAATGTACTTTTAATTTATCTTTTTCGTTTATCTATACGTGTAGTTTCTTTCTCCTCGGCATTACCAAATCTAATGAAATTTTCAAAACTATGTGATCTTGTGTAGTACACATACCCAATCATCAGTAGGTAAGTAGGGTGAAGCTGCCGTGTCCTCCCCAGGAACAAAGGGAATTTGATCGTTTTCTTTAGGCCTTCCCACTAGCCTGTCTCTTTCCCAAACCGGAGTCACCGTCGGCATCTTCTTCCCGCAGGCCAACTCTGTCAATGCGCACATGATATGCCCCTCTCCATATCCATCGCACATTGAATGCGGCAAAGCAATCCCTAAGATGAATCCACCACATACAAATTTGGTTACCTGTCATCATCATTGTAGTTCACTTAATGGGTTTTCTTTTTTTTTCGGAGAAAATACTACAATATACCTTTTTACTTTGTAGTTATGCCAGACTAGAAGACAAGTTTTAAAGTATTATTTCCTAAAATGAAAAAGTTTTAAGGTATTAGGGGAGAGACCACCTTTTTACCTTTTACTTTGCTATTTACTTTTTCACTAAAGAATTTTTATTTACTTCCACTAATTCTTACGAAAATCAACCTACTAAAAGTAATTTATATATCTTAATTAAACTTGAACAAATTTACGCAAAATAAGTTTTAGTTCTAGCTAATTTCATGCACGTAATGTTCGTCCCTGTATAAAACATATCGGTTATGTACCTGCAAGGCAAAAGGTGGATAACCATCCTTATCCACTTGAATCTCTGGCAAGAACTTTAAGGCAATATCTGAGTCAATGTTGTCTAGATACTTCAAAGAAGAAAGCTCTACGTTAGCAGTAGCCACGGTGAACGCCACACCGCCTCCGTCTCCGCCACAGCTCAACTGAAGCTTCCGATCAGTGTCCCTCCGCTTTAAAGTCCCCGAAAGTGGGTAGTAGTAACCAAGAAGAACAGACAAAGCCTCCTTAACCAAATATTCCGGCTGGGTATCATCATAACCTACGTTCCTGGCTTTGAAAACGTAACATAACTTGTAGATAACTTCGTTATACGGAGCATTGTCAAGTGTTGAAAGGGAAAGAGTATGTGAAGGTATGTGTTTTGAGGGTTTCACCATTTCGGTGGGATTTTTCTTCACCATTAAAGGGATCGATGAGCTTTTTTGAATCGGCATGTTTTTTTTTTTTCAATTTCTAGTTTTTTTGACGAATAAAACTCTAAGAACCCTTTCGTCTTTTATAGAGAAGGGCCTCTGAATCTATAAAGTAGTCAGATAAATTAGTCAATACAAATCAATTATTAAGATGTTAAGCTTAATAGCTTAGAAAGATTATAGAAAAAGGCATAAACAGAGAACTATTTACAAGATCTATGCAGAATAAATATACATTTACAATAATAATGTTGGTTTTATGACATAAAACTACGGTTTGAAGGTAACACTGACAGATTCTATATGTAAAAGCTTAGAAAGATTATAGGGAAAAAGGGTATACAACCGAGAACTAATCAATGCAAAATAATACATTTACAATAATAATGATATAATTCGAAGGTAACATTGACGGATTCTATCTATTCTATTAAAATAGAGTTATTTTTTTTTATCTACCTATAAGTAGTCTACTAACTAGGACCATTTATCTACAATCCTAACAAATATGAATATCATGTATAACAATATAACCTTATTTTATGTATCCCTTAAATATAACATCTACTTTTGTTGGTTATTTATATTTGTACTGATTTATATTTGTACGTAACATATATTACCTTCACATAGCATGATATTTTATAGAGTAGATATAATACGTATATATAATATTTAATATATTTCTTAACTATGATCTTTGTGTATTAGAAAAATATATCCTATTATACTATTATACATGAATATTATAAGTTGTCTAATTAAAAATAATCTTGCCATGACATAGTATACATGTCATGTGTATTAGAAAATTACATACTACTATACTATTATACATATATATTATAATTAGTCTAATTATAAGTAAGACATATATATATATATATANAACTATGATCTTTGTGTATTAGAAAAATATATCCTATTATACTATTATACATGAATATTATAAGTTGTCTAATTAAAAATAATCTTGCCATGACATAGTATACATGTCATGTGTATTAGAAAATTACATACTACTATACTATTATACATATATATTATAATTAGTCTAATTATAAGTAAGACATATATATATATATATAATAAACAATTCGTAATTATTTCACCAGTAATAAAATATATCCATCTAGACTTTTTTTTTTAAATAAACATATTTCACCAACAGTAATAAAAACTAACCTAAACATACGTAAAATAGTAGATATATTAATAGAGTAGATGCCACGCATTATGGGTTTTAAGAAATTATTGTAGATTGCCCAAATTTTTTTAATTAGTTAATAATTATGTGAAACTGAACTATTTAATTTTTGAGTTACATAATAAATATTTTTTTAAAAAGATCATATTAAATAGATTACTTAATATATTCCAAATATCTTAAAATAGTAACATCATCTAAATATATGGTAAAATACAATTTCATTTGAAATTTCAGTTATAAATTTTTTATCCAAAATAATATATAAAATATGTATATATGTAAATCTTAACTAAATTTATGGTTTTACAAATAATAATATACTCGTACAGGCGCGCGGATCAAATTCTAGTATATTCTATTAAAATAGAAATCACAACTTATGTGTGATATTTTTTTAAATAGACCATTCATTAACAAAATTAATCATATCTTACATAATTTAATAATAATATCTTTACTTTTTATTTGAACTAAAATGAAAATTAAAAAAAAAAAATCTAACAAAATCTTTATGATATCTTTCTTAATTTAATTCCGAGATTAGTTCATTTGAATTTTAATAATCAGAAAACATCATTAGAAATTAAAATTAATTTGTTTTAAGATATAAAATGAAAAGTGAATAGAATATGTTAATTCTATTTCACGTATTATAAAAATTTAAATTAATTAATTTTTAAAATATATTTTACAAATATATTAAAAACATTATGTTACAAAATTTTTCATTTCTATCTCAAATATAAAAATAAAACTATTTCATATATTAAAAGTAATTTGTTTCTATAAATGGATAGTTATTACTTATTTCACGTGTGATTTGTTCATTTTGACCATTCATTAGCGAATTTGTGAAATTTTACATAATTTAATTATATGAAAACAAATGAATTTAAAAAAATCTAACAAAATTATTTTGGCAATCTTTTAAAATTTATTCAAAAACTATTTAATGTAAAGTATAGTTATAATAGAATATTATTATAAATTAAAATTAATTTAATTCTTAATTTATAAAAAATCAAAAAATATATAATATATGTTTAATTATATTATAATAATAAGGAAATAAATTCATTAAATTTAAAATATATTTTACATTTATTTATTTTTAAATTATTTGATTCAGATTTTTTTAAACGATGTAGACTAACATATATTATAGAATTAGAAAGAAAAAAAACACCAAATTATTTACAGTTTAGTTATAAAATTTTCAAATGTAAACATTATTATATTTTTATATACAAACACGTGCGGATGCATGAGTCTAGATCTAATATGTATATTAAAATGCAAACTTTGTTGAAAGCATTTTTTATTATAATGCATGTATAATACCATCCATTTATTTAAGAAACTTCAAGTATGTCCCTATATATTTTTGGAAAATCATGGTATAATCAACGTTGCATGGAAGCTTCATCGGACGTGCGTTCCCCGCTTCGGAATCAGAATCGGAATCGGAATCTTGTGGAAGCTTGCAGAATCTCGATTCCAAAACGCTTCTAGAATAACCTATATATATATATATATATATATACACATTGGAAGCTTACGATTCCAATTTGGAATCACGCTTTTAATTTTAAAAACGAAATATCGTATATAAATAAATGAAATATATAATCATTTTTATGTTTTATAGTATATAATAGTATATATAGTGAGAATATATATATATATATATATATATATATATGTAAATACTAAAATTAATACTATAAATTATATGCATGCACTGATTTTATTAGATATATATCATATATATATATATATATTCAAATATGTTGTGCCAATTATTTATAAAATGTGTAAATGATTAACTGGTAATATTTGTTTATAAACTTAATTTATTCGTATTTTCACAATTATAATATGCAATTATTTTAAATTATAATAAATGAATAAATGCTTTATTTTAAATCATATAATTCCTAGTTATAAATTTTATAAAATTTCTTATATATATATATATACATATATATGTATATTTAGATATATGCTTCCAACACGTATCCGCTTCCTAAAATTTTGAAAAATTTTGATTCCGCGTTGTGATATATGTTCCACGAGTTGTGGCCAAAGGAAAAAAACAAAACCAAACTATAATTAAATGAAACTGTTATTAAATGAAATATCAGTGGCACATTTCTATGTCGTAGATACAACTATTTTATTAAATGAAGGTCGTATAAGCAATTTATGGTAACTATATTTATGTAAGGAAAATGGTGTATGTATATCAACCCTTATTAATTTTTAATTTAAAAGGTAATTGCATAATATCAGTTTTAATTTAAAACGTAATAGCATTGCTGTAAAACTTTCAAAAATAATGGAGACCAGGAAAATAGTTTTCAGTTTGAATAATATAGATTATGTTAAGATCTGCGCATTGTGCATAATAAACATTATGTATACAAATTATTTTTACTTATTATTATTTATTTTGTGTGTATTTAAGATAATAAGTATATTGAACAATTTAGAAGCGAACACATATTGTGTATATAGCTTAACTAGAATAGGCACATAAATCAAAGATCTCCTTTTATTTATTTTGTATGATATATAACTATATTTGAATGATATTGACATAGATAAAAATATGAATATTTAATTGAAGGTTCCTAGTTCCCACTCATATGATTTTACTAACATTTGTATATTTGTTGTAACAAAAAATTTAAACCATTAATCAAAAAAATTTCAGTGTGATTTTTAATAATTTTAGTAATTTATAACTGTTTTAAAAAATTAATGCGAATTTAAAATTAAAATATCCAGGTCTCAATATCTTTTCAACACAAATTTTGAAATCGACATATTTATGTATTTTTATATGGTATATAATGTAATTTAAAGGATATATATATATATATATATATATGTATATAGTTAATCTGAAAATCTATTAAATGATACTTCATATTCATATAATTTTATTAATATATGTATCTTTTAATAACAAAAACGGGTCAACAATCTAGTTTCCCATGAGAAGTATCATATAGCACCAAATGTCCACAGAACTATGACCCCGTTCTATTTATCCCCGAAAATAAAGTTCGCAACCTATTTTCCCACAAAATTTGGTTTAGTTATGATTTCTGAAAACCGAATTTTAAATCTCCACTCTCATATAACAAAACCGAGCAAAACTAAACCAAGACAAAATTAAAAACCCGACCAAGCCCTCATCTAGATCAGAATAGTAACCCGATCCAACATTCGAACTTAAAAATATCCTACTGATTGAATCTTAATCCGGTTAGTCATTGGCTTAACATGATCTACGGTTTGTTTATGAACAATAAACCAATAAAAATCGATTTTGTGGGTTTTTTAGATTTCGATATTTATAATTGTGGAGAAATATTGATATAACTTTAATTTGTTGAGAAAATAGGATGCATACAAAGATGAGGAGGAGTACTGGTATCAGAAGAGTCGGAATATGTGGTATTCATCGGGGGATCTTAATACCAAGTTTTATCACGCATTAACAAAACAGCGGACAGTGCATAGTAGAATTGTGGGTCTTCACGATGACGCTGGGAACTGGATAACAGAGGAACATGGGGTGGAAAAGATAGCTGTGAACTATTTTGGGAATCTATTTACTACTACGTCCCCATCGAAGTTTGACAGCTTTTTGGATAAGGTTCCAACAAAAATTACTACCCAGATGAATCAGAGGCTTCTACGAACGGCGACGGAAGAGGATGTTAAACAAGCTCTATTTATGATGCATCCAGAGAAGGCCCCATGACCAAATGGAATGACAGCTCTTTTCTTCCAACACTCGTGGCATG